TCAACGCGCTGGAGGCGGGCGCGCCGTGACCCCACGCGCAGGACACCATCCTCTTCTACCTGGTGGCGAAGGCGGCAGGCGGCTTCTGCAACCTGGGCCTGATGCCAGAGCTGGCGAGGCCGTGGGAGGCTATCCGCATGCCGCGCGCCAGGTATTGGGAGGGCGCCAACCGCAAGCCCTGCGACTGGGCGGCGCGCGGGCGGTCCAGCGAGAGGGCTGCGTGGGAGCAGGCGCTGTTCTGCGAGTCCACGGTGGCCGAGGGCATAGAGTACGCGGTCACGTACTTCGACCTGGTCAAGTGCTTCGAGTACGTCACGCACAAGGAGGTGTGGCAAGCGGGAACCCGCTCAGGGTTCAACGCAGTCATCCTCAAGATGGTGCTGCGCATCTACTCCATAGCGCGCCGCATCGTCCTGGACAATGCGTGCGCGGAGGGCAAGGGGCGGGCGCGAAGCGTCGTGGCGGGCAGCCGCCTCGCGTACCTCTGCCTCGAGATGGTCACCTTCGGGGAGCTCGACGGCGAGGTCGCGGACTACCCATGGGCATCGCTGTGCCTCCTCTTCGACGACCTGCGGTCGCCGCGGGAGGTGCGAGGATGTCCGTGCAGCACTGGCACGCGCAGGTCGCGCAGCGGCTCATCGACATGTTCGAGGGACTGGACATGAAGGTCCCCGAAGGCGCGGAGGGTAAGACGGCCACCGTGGCATCGGCCACCGCGTTGCAGGACGGCCTCGCCAAGCGTGTGAGACCGATGGGCGTCAGGATGGCGCGGCACGCGGGCCACCTGGGCGTCGCCACAGCAGCGGGCAGGAGGCGACGGGCCACCGCCTTCAGCAAGAGGGCGAGCAAGTATACAGCGCGGCGGGACCGCATACCGCGCATGCGACGCGCGGGGGGCCCACGCAGGCGATCATCAGGCTAGGCAGGGTGCCGTCTGCCATGTACGTGGTGCAGGTCATGGGCATGGCGAGCTCCACGCTGGTGCGCCTGCGGCAGAGCGTGGCGACCTCCTTCAGGGGCAACACCATGGGCAAGTCAACGCCGCTGGTGCTCCTGGCCGAGGACCCAGACCCGGGCATCCGCGCCAACGTAAAGCCGCTGGTCAACTGGACCATGGCGTAGCAGGAGGCCGACGGCCAGTCATACCTGCTGCGCCAGCTCCAGGGTGCCTGGAAGAAGTGGGTATACCGAGTGGGTCGTGCCAAGACCCCATGGCTGCAGGAGCGCGGGCCAACGGAAGCTTTCGTGGCGACGACGAAGGGACTGGGCTGGCAGACGCAGGCGGCCACAGCGTCACCATAGGCGAAGAGGTCCTGGACCTCAGGACGCCCCCGATCAAGGAGTTGAATCAGTGCATCCGCAGGGCCACGGAGGACAGCCTCAGGCAAGAGTGGCTCGGCAAGCACGGGGAGAAGCACGGCATCACCACATTGTTCGTCGAACCCGTGCGTGCGCTGCTCAAGCGACAGCGAACTGCCTGTTGGACGCTGGAGCAGAAGACGAGAGTCTCTGGAGCGGGGGCGCATGGCCGCGGCAACGGCTATACGACAAGGGCGCCGCGCAGGACAACACCTGCAAGGCGTGCCGCGACGGAGCAGGTACGGACCGCCACAGGACCTTCACGTGCGCAGCCAGAGCTGAACACAGACGAGCTGTGGGAGGACATCACATATGTCACCGCGGGGCGGCGAGGTGGCCTGGAGCATCGGAGGCGCAGCGTGCAGCGTCCGAGGCGCTCTGGGGACGGGGCCGGGCGCCCGACCCCGCGAAGGAGTCCAGGCTGTGGGACCTGCCCTCCATGGACACCAGCGCCGTGGAGGGCGACTTCATCGGGTTTGTGCATGGTGACATCTACACCGACGGCAGCCTCCTGTACGGCGGGTCCCCAGCCCTTCGGCGAGGAGGCCGGGCCTTCGTCCAGCTGGACGAGCACCAGGAGCTGCAGTATGCTGCGTACGGCCCGCTCGAGGGCCCCCAGAGCGACCAGTCCATCTACAGGAGTGAGCTGGTGGTGATCGCCAAGGTCCTCGAGCGGGCTTGCTTACCCGTCAAGATATATTATGATTGCAAGGCCGTGATCGACGGCTTCGAGAAGGGCCCAGCGTGGGCCGCGCGCGCAGACACAGCCCGCAAAGAGGTCTGACTGCGCTGTTGGAAGCTCGTAGAGGAAAACGGAGGGATCGGGCCGCTAGGAATCATATGGCACACGGTTAAAGCTAGTGCCACCAGGGCCCAAAGGGTTCAGATGGGGCCCCAGTATTTCATAGGCATTAATCTAGCGGTCACCCACGCTAAGCGTGGGGCTCAAATGGATCAGCATGAGGCCTGGCATCGGGCCACGTACATTCAGAGATACACATTGATTTCGGACATTCTGGAACTTGCCGCGCACGTCGGGGTCCTCGGCCACGGGCTCGAGGACACCTCTGAGGGCCCTGGGGCCCGTTGGGCCCAGAGCCGCTTCCGCCCCGACGCCTAGTGGGGGAATGGATGACCCTGTGGGCCCTCCACAGCCCCCACCTGGCCCTGTGGTCCCCCCTCCCGCGCCCCCTTCGGTGCTCGGAGATCGGATCCAGAGGGCCCGTGCCGAAGGCCACCAGATGGTGTGCCTGCCTAGAGTAGCTTTCTGTCGAAGGTGTGCCAGGTACGCCAGGGACCGACGGAGAGGTTTACTTTCCAGTTGCCCTGGGGTAGTCCTAGGGTCTTAGCTGGCCGTTTGAAACGTTTGTGGCACCCCACCACGAATCATATCGGGGATGGACAGACCTCCCTTTAGTAAAACGTGGTTTAGTGAAAACGACCTGAGGCCCAAACCTGGCGGGCGCAACCCTGGAAAATAACGGCCACGGCGCCCTCTCGAGAACCGAAAACGGACAATTCACTAATCGACGTGTCACTGTTGGGGGTTCTGTCCACCCCCGATCATATTCTTTGAGGCCCACGATTGCCCAGGACAGGCCTGGGATGAAGGGTGCCTCCTAGGGTTACGTCGCCGCGCCCTCGGCCGCCTCGACCAACCGAAAGCGAACGAATCCTCAGCGAATCCTCCTCCTCCCTCCTCCCTTCTCCTCCTCCTCCTCCACCTCCTCCTCCTCCTCCTCCTCCTCCTTCTCCTCCTTCTCCGCCTCCACCTCCTTCTCCTCCTCCTCCTCCTCCTCCTCCTCCTCCTCCTCCTCCACCCCCTCCTCCATCTCCTCCCTCCTCCGCCCACTCCCCCCCCCCAGGCGCTCCGCGAGACGCTGCGAGACCACAGCCGCGCCCTCGTGGGCCGAACCTGGAAGCAACCGTTAGGTTGTACTGGGCCCGGGGCTTTGGGGGCTCCGCGGCTCCGCGCCCTCAGCCTCCCTTTGAGGGGGAGATAGGGGGAGCGATACAGGAGCAAGAAAAAACGACACCGCCACCACCAGGGATCACCAGCGGGAGGAGCTAGGGGGTCCCCCCCTGCTGGTGTGGTCCCCCCCCACTCGCTCGGGACATCGCCTATCCCCAGCCAGGGGAGGCATCGTGGACCTCCTCGCTGGAGGTGGCCCCCCTGGTGGTGGTGGTGTCGTCCCCCGACGATCGAGGGGGGAGCGGCCCAGGGGAAGGGGGAGAATCGATCTGAAATCGATGATACATCGCCGATGGATCGGCGATGGGCCGACGATGGCAAAACCGAGCGCTCCTGGGCGAGGTGAGCTATCGGTCCCCTATCGGCTCTCCATGGGCGATTGGGCGTATGCTTTCCCCCCCGAGCCTAACCACCCCCACGTTGCCCCTTATCCATCGCCTGCTGCTGCTCTCGGCTTCACGCTACAGTGTCCCTGTAGGCAAGAGTGACCTTTGGTGCGCGCCTGGCGCGCCTGGGCTTGCCAGCCTCCCCCCGCCCGCGCCCCTCGAAAGCTGGCGCGCACCGGAGGCCATCCCGGCGGAGGGTCACCCTTTGCGTGCAGGAGGGGTCACCCTTTGCGTGCAGCAGGACTGAAGGGGCCCTGGGACACACAAGTAAATACACACAAACAACAGGATTTCCCATCCTTCCCCGTGTTTTTGGGATTTTCGCCTTCCCCCCCACTTCCCATAGTTTCCCATATCTTCCTGGGAGTCGATAATTCATTGTGTCCGTGTGTTTTTCCCCCTCCCGAAGGACGCCGGAAACACACGAGGCTGGATTCGCATGTGTTGGGCGCCCGAGTTATCCGGGGTAACTCGGGTCCGGGGTAACTCGGGTTTGGATTCCCGAAATAGGAACCCGAGTTAGCCCTGACCCGAATTACCCCTGATGAATTGGGGCTCTGGACGCCCGAATTATCTGGGGTAACTCGGGCCGGGGTAGCCCGGGTTCGGATTCCCGAAAAGCGAACCCGAGTTAGCCCTGACCCGAGTTGCCCCTGATGATTCGGGGCTCTGACGACCCCCCTCCCTCCGCCCCCCCGCTGGTGCGCGGGGACCTGTCCATCACCGCCGCCTGCGGCATCGATCTTCGGGGACCTCGGCCGGGGGGGGGGATACCGTGGAGAGCCGACCACAAGAAAGCTCCCACCAGAGACCCAACCCTGAGACCCAGGGGCGTCCATGGATTTCTGGTGCGGGAACGTCACGCTTTCCATCGCAGAGCCATCGAATGCCAAGACACTCAGGGCACCCTGGAGGCAAGCAGGGCGTTTCTTGGCATGGGCCCCCACTGTATGGAGCATTGGCCACCCTGCGAGGTCGCCGAAGATCGATCCCTTCCCAGGCATCCGGCGTCTTGAACTTCTCCATTGCCGGGCCCCCAGGGAGGTCTGGACCGTCTCCCCGGGGCCGGCTCTTCAGCCTGGGCAGTGTCTTGACGGTCCCGGGGCGGCCCCCGAGAGGCCGGGAACTGCGTGAACAACCGCCGCCTTGAGTCCCTCAAGGTGTCGGAAGTCTGGCCTGGGCGGTGACGATGGGCAGCTCACCCGCCTCGGAGCTGGCCAGCCAGGGCGGGGCCGCCGCGCGCGGCCCCGATGCCGGGGCGACCATCGCAAGCGTCGCGGCCCTCACCGCCCCAGGTCGCTGGCCACCCGCGCCGCCAGGGACTCGAACAGCTGCCCGACCTCGGCGGAAGGCGGCGCCCGCCCCTCCGCGCCCGTTTCGTGCGCCAGCCGCCGCTCGCGGAGCGCCGGGCGCGCCCAGGGGCCACTCGGCGGCCCTCGGCGTCCAGGTGGCCTTCGGCGGCCAGGTCGTCGTGCTCGTCGTGCTCGTGCTTGTCGTCGTCGTGGTCGTCGTGGTGGTGCCCAGGGTTACGTAGCAAAGAGGAGCGGGACACATGGTTGGCTTTCCCCGGCGCCTCAGAGCGCCGGAGGCGGCCGTGCATCGGAAGAGGTGCCCAGCGGCGGGGCCAGAGCTGGCCGGCTGCATGCAGCAGCTGTCTCCCCGACCCGTTTCCCAAACCGTCCCTTTCGCCTGCCTCGCTGGACGTCAGCGCGCCGTGGGCCCCCGTCGTCGTCGTCGTCGTCGGCGTCGTCGTCGTCGTCGTCGTCCCGATTTTGAAAATTTTCGGGCACCCTGGAAATTCTCGTGTCGCCATGGCTGGACGCGGCTCGGAGAACGCGGCTAGGAGAGGCCTGGAGGCCGGGTTCTTGAGCGGCTTTTGTCGCCGTCGTGGCCGTGGCAATGATGGCACTCGTCGCCAGGGCCACCGTTGTCGTCGTCGTGCTACGCCTCCTCCTCCCCCTCCTCTTCCTCCTCCTCCTCCTCCTCATCAACGCCACGGTCGAGTACAGCAAGTGCTTAGCCGAGCAAGGCTTAGAGATGGAAGACAAATCGGTTATCATCACTACTAACGAGCAGATGACGCACGATATCGCATACGAGATCAGACGACAGGGAGGTGCGGTTAAACCAGCCGCATCTGGAAGAGACCTTGGAATCGATCGTGCTGGCACTGTTGCAAGAACGCGACCCACGCACACCAAGCGAGTGAAGACAGCCACCGATAGGATGAGGAAGATCAGGACCAAGCTACGCAGGTTACATCGGCACCGCGGACGAATCCTTGTGGTGCAAGGCCCGACCGCCTCGTTCTTGTATGGCACCAAGATCTATGGCGAACCACCGACAGCCACGACACAACTCCGCAGATCAGCAGCAAAGGCTATTGGCAAGCACTGGTTTGGAAGGTGTCTTCAAACATACCTTGACCTTGAGCAAGCTGACCCAGCTGTCAGCATCTTGAAGGGACAGCTCAACACATGGTTCGACACGTGGTGCCACAGACCAGACCTTCACGAGGGAGCTTGCCGTGCTTGGGGTACCATCTACCGCAACCTTGCGAGTAAGACGCCACAAGACCGATGGAGGCTAGGACGTGGAATGATCGGCAGTCTCATACTTTCGTTATGGCAAGTTAACTGGGATCCCTTGTCGCCCGTCCTTTGGCTGGATCCTGAAGGCAATGAATGGCAAATGGGAGATGACGAGCACGCGCACACTAAAGATCCTACGGACGTTATCCACGCAGTTCTCCAGAGCCAGCAAGCAGTATTCTGGGACAAAGCTTCTCGGCACTGGCTCGGTCAAGGCATGGAAAAGGGAATCGATACCACGGATCTGCGTAAACGTGTTCTTCAGATGCGTCGCCGAGACAAACATCGAGAGGCTGGAGTATTGCAGACAGCAGCGTGCGCAGCCATGTGGACACCAGCTAGGAGACGAGCATGTTTTGGAGAAGAAGCTGAAGATAAATGCTCGTGTGGGGAAGTTGCAGACGACTACCATCGCATATGGGGGAATTGCACACAGCGGCAGGACCATAAAGACTATTCAGTATCAGACACACTCAAGGATCGAGCTGCTGAGGGAGCAAAGGTGGTGCCCTGTTTTTGGCTCCGTGGTCTATGCCCGAAATAATGGACGATTCCCCCAGAGTGCACCACCGAGAACAACCCGACCAACATCGGCGAGATTGAGAACGTCGACACGATCCACACGATCACAGGCCCCACAGTTATTTCAACGGACGGTAGTGGTGGATCCCAATCGAGCGACCGCAGATATCGCAGATGCGGATGGTCATGGGTATGCCTCCACTACCAAGAAGAATGGAAGATCCGAGCAGCACAACATGGACCACTACCTGGACGGCGCCAGACCAACAATCGAGCGGAGTTGTGGGCGGTGCTACAAGCGATCAGGTCGACAACGGGACCGCTCACAATTTATGCTGATTCAGACGTTACAACCCACGGATGGCAGAAAGAGCTACACCTTCGACATGGTCATCGCAGGAGGAATGCCGACATCTGGGACCCTGTGTATTTCGCACTGTGTGTAAGAGCTCCTGCCGAGATGAACCCAGCCAAGGATATCGGGCTGCGACACATCACGAGCCACATGGACGCGGAGGAGGCGGTCAAGAAACAGGTCAGTGCCGAGGCATGGTTGGGAAAATTGCTGGCCGACGAGCTGGCGTCCGACGCCGCCTCCGAGCACGACATCCCAGGGGCACAGATGCAATGCTACAACTGGGTACATGCTATTCAGTGCTTGGTCTGGCGACGCTTGATCCGTGCGCACCTCGACGCGTGCGAGAGCGACAGCCAGGCCATGATCCCAGAAAAGTATAAAACAAGACAGCAACGTAAACAAGCCAGGACTGAGTTGAGAGCCGTCCTCGAGTCTAGCCCCCACCTCCTCGTTCGCTCGCGATGTAGATGGCAGTGTAGCAAGTGTAACGAACAAGTCAGTAGGAACGCTGGAGGAGCTGTAATTAAACACTGGCTTAAAGAATGTAGCATAGCCTCGTCCAAACGGAAGAGAGGCACAGCCATCCGCGTAGGTGCAATAACCATTCACCCCACCCACATCATGCAATTCACTGAGAAATTTAGCCTCTGGTGGTGCACTAGATGTGGCCGTCGTACCAAAGGTACTGACGGGGGTAGTATCAAGGGCCTTTTTGATAAATGCCAGGAACCCACTAAGAATGGGAAATATGTTTTATCGTGTATGAAGCAGGGCAAGGAACCGCCACACTAGGCCGCGGGAGGCCTCGGGGCCCATGTGGCGCCATCGCTCGCTCGTCGTGCGATCCTCGACTTCGTCGTCGCCGAACATTCCCGAACACTCCTCCTCCTCCGCCTCATCCTCCTCTTCCTCCTCCTCCTCATCCTCCTCCTTTTCATTCGTTTCCTCCTTTTCCTCCTTTTCCTCCTCCTCCTCCTCATCCTCATCGTCCTCCGCATCCCCCTCCTCATCATCATCATCATCATCATCAACATCATCGTCATCGTCATCGTCATCAACAGCATCATCATCAGCATCATCATCATCACCATCATCATCATGATCATCATCATGATCATCATCATCGCCATCATCATCTTCATCGTCATCATCATCACCACCACCATCATCATCATCAGCATCAGCATCATCATCATCATCATCATAATCATCATCATCACCAGCATCATCATCATCATCATCATAATGAATAATAATCATCATCATCATCATCATCATCCGTCCTCGTCCCGTCCCCTGTCTGTTACTCCCCCCTCCTCTCGCTCATGGCGTGCGACTGGGGCAGGGAAGGAGGGTACGAAGGAGGCTGGGCGCAGGGAGGCGAGAGTGGGAGACGGTGGAGGTAGGGAGGAATCGAATCGAATCGAGCTCTGGGGGCAGTTCAATCAGCTCGTCTGCGTGAGAAGCCTGGGTCACTCCTGGCGGCTTTCACCACTTTATAACTCGAAACTGCTTGCCTATACGCCATGAGGACCTGCCAAGGTATTTACGTGGCCGCCGTGCAGGTAATCCAGAAGCCGCATTAAAGTGATCATTTGTGTTTTGGCCCCCCCTCTGTCACAGAGGGGGTCAAATATGCCCCCCCTCTGTCACAGAGGGGGTCTAAGATGCCCCCCCTCTGTCACGGAGGACCTCGTTCCGGGTGCTCTTCTGCCACGGGAGCTCCCGATACGATTGGAGACAATAAAATGTGATAGCGGGATGGGGGATTGGAGGGGGAGGGAGAAGAAAACGATGAAGGAGAGGAGGCAACGACAACGCCGATGAAAGCACCGTTTCTTTTTCCTTTTCCGCTCGGGCAGCGGTCGCCGAGCACGACGGCGCGCGCGAGTCGCCGCCGCTCACGATGCATTGGCAAGGCCTCCGCTGCTGCGGAGGGTCGACGTTCGGCCGATGAGGCCTCCATCCGCTGCTGCGGAGGGGCGGCTCCTGTGCGATGGTTCAGCTAAGTTCTTCCCAGGGATTGGTCTCGGGGGGGTGTTCGACCCACCTCCAAGATGTCGTGGTCGTGGCCTCCCAGTGCCCCTGGCCGCTACTCCACCCACTGTGGCTGCTCCACCAGTCACTGGGGCGTTGGTCGCTGCCGAATGCAACTTGCATGTCGCGCCAGGCGGAGTCGACCATGCGGTCCTGCAGCGAGAAGCCTCGCCGCTCGGCTGTTGCCACTCGCGCTCCTCGCCCTCCTTGGTGCGCCACCACTCATCCCTGCGCCACTCCCCGTCTGTTGGTTGCTGCCGTGGCGTCTGTGGCCTCCGCTGCTGCGGGAGCTCTGGCGGCTCGTGGCCGAGGGCAGCGATCGCGTCCGAGATGTAGCTGGCGGCGCCGCGCTGCCCTCGCTGCTCCAGCCCTGCCCTGGAGATGGGCACTGCGGGGTCGGCTGCCACCTTGGGGGTGATAAGTAATTATTTCTATAAGTATCCCCTCCCTGTCAACTCCCGCCCCTTTCCGACACTCACTTCCTTGTGTCATCCCTCGTCCTGCTCAGCCTATTCCTCATTCCCTCTCCTCCCTCCTGCCCTCCCCGTGCTCCACCCTCCCTCTCCCTCCCTCCCCCTTTCAACCCCCCGCCGCGACCTTCCATCGCCAGCCGCGGGCCTGTCGCGGCCGTCGTCCGCGCTTTCGTCTGCCCATCTTGGCGTGCGCCACGCCTGTTGGGCGCGCTCGTCTTGCTCGTCCCTCTCGCTGTGCTGCTCTGGCGCCTGGCGCTCGGGTCCGTGCTGCTCGGGCGGCAGCGGCGCCCTGAGCGCAGCTGCCAGCTGTTTCTGGGCGCGCCTGTCCTTCTTCTCTTTGGCTCTCTCCTGCTTCCTCC